GACCCAGACACTAACCAGCACCCTAGAAAAAAGTGTTGAAAGATTTGAGAGGAAAATACTCCGCACGATAACCGGCGCGATCTGGGATCAGAGTACTAACCCATAGAGAATAAAGACCAATAAAGAACTGCTTAGAGATACTGATCAATAAATATCCTATGATATGAAAGAACGGAGGTTAAGATGGGCAGGGCATGTAATTCGTAGCAATCCATCTGAAAGGCTATTCTTAACAATGCATGCATCAACAGTAGGCGGAAGGGCAAAAAGCAGATGGAAAGATCGAATCAAATAGATGTAATAGAGCTGTTTGCAGATAACTGGAAAGAAACAGCCCAAGACAGGCAGTGATGGAGCAGACTTGTTAAGGTGGCAAAAGATCTACATGGTCAGTGCCAACAGAAAAAAAAAATTGTTTTCAGAAAACATATTTTATATTTTAATAACAAAAAAAAACTACAAAATATAAATACAAAATACTTTATGGACCATCAGCATATAATACAGAAAACCATTACGTTTGGTAATTTATTTTGTGTATTTAAAGTACAAAATAAAATATCATTTAATAAAGTATCTTGGAAATAAAATAAAATAAACTAAAATACTATTTTTTTTTCAAAAGAAAATGGATTCGCAAACAATCTATTATATATTTTACTTATTGAAATGCAAAATACAAAAAATGCATTTTTTTGGCATTTTAAAATTTAAATATTTTTTAGTATATTATAAGTTTTTTTTTTGTGTTTTAAAATTTAAATATTTTTTAGTATATTATAAGTTTTTTTTTGTGTTTTAAAATACTTTATTTGAAATACTGCCCAAGTGAGGTTTCTAGTTACCCCTGTTCCATCCTTGAAAAAAAACAGTGTATTTTAATGAAAAAGTTGTTTTCAGAAAGCGTATTTTGTATTTTAATAACAAAAAAAAAGAAAAACTTTATGGACGAACAGCATATAGTACAGGATACCATTTCTATTGGTGATTTATTTTGTTTATTTAAAGTACAAAATAAAATATCTTTTAATAAAGTATATCTTGTAAACAAAATACAAATACTATTTTATTTTTTTAAAAGAAAATGAAGTTGCAATCTATTTTATATTTTACTTATTAAAATAAAAAAATGTATTCTATACTTCTTTTTTTTTGTGTTTTAAAATACTTTATTTGAAATAAGCCCCAAGTGTGGTTTCTAGTTACCCCTGTTCCATCCTTGAAAAAATAAGTGTCTGATTCCCTCCCTTCTAAAAAAGTTCATGAAGTCAAATCCTCAGCCGATTTGGAACCATCCGCTATTCAAACCACTCCATTTACCCTCATCCTAAAAAATGGCTGGCAAAACAAAGGAGAGGGACGGAGTTCATTTCTGCAGATAAAGTTTTTACCAAAGTAAATATTTTGGCGGCGGCACAATCCTGCCCTTGGCATTGCCGGCTGACCCAAATAATCTCCCGAGCGCTTACTTTGTCACGATCCGCTCCAATATTCACTCATCTTTTCATATTACCGGCTTAGCCAGCCATCGCTTTCCTAACTTATTTTTCTTTTATATTATTTGAATTTTATCGGCGTATTTGAGGGTATGGAAATATTTGACTTTGTTTGCTACGCTATAAGACTGTTTACTACATGAAGTGCTACGTGATTTTACATATCAATTTGATCCAGAGATCACCACGATCAGATTTTATATATATATATATATATATAAACTTAACTATTTAATTGGGAATAAGGTCACTTATTAATTATTCAATAAACTATTGAATGTTCATTTCTTCTGTTTATTGACGTTTCGATCTCGGTATTTTCTTTTTATTAGTCAACCATGGGATCCTCTTCAAAGCTAGAATTTTAAAAACTAGAGCTTCGATCAGACCAGGGACACACCGACAGTCCTAAGACTGAGCACCGTCCACTAGCACATATATTAAGCTACTGTATATAATACTCAAAGGTCGACTAAGGAAAAGTTGTAAGTATATATATATATATATAAATGTTAGCTTATTGGAAATTGAAGTTTATATATTTCAAATCAATTATAAAATTAAATATGGTAATATTTTGCAAAGTAAATGTTTCATTAATTATAAGCGATCTTCCACGTGCAATCATTATAATTGGGTACCTGCCTGAATTTTCAATTTCTATTCGTCGATGAACACCAGGTTATAAAAATAAAAACACAAGAACTCCCAAATTTTTCTGATGAATATTTTCCAAGTTAATTAACGTCACAGGCTGATCTAAAGGGAGATAATTTTCGGGCTGAAGCTCCCTTTCCTCCCAAAATCGTAAAATATAACCAGATCTTAAGAAAAAAATATTAAAAAATTATTACTCGTGTAATTTCATTTAATAGAACTTCAAGAATCACTAATACATCATATAGTTTATTTATTTTAATTCCAAAGTAATTATCAATACACACACACACACACATATATATATATATATATATATATATATATATATATATATATATATATATATATATATATATATATATGTATATATATATATATTTTTTTTTTTTCCCCGGCTTAATCACCCTCTAAAAATTACATCCTGGATCCGTGATTAGTTTTACAGTAAAGTGGTGAGGACGAAAGTACGTCACACAAGTGGAGACCCAACAAGGCCATAACATGCCAGCGCTAGTTCATACCGTGGATCATCTTATACTTTTTAGCTCACAAAAGTGTTTTAAACTTTGAAACATCAACCCAAGACATACCTCTCCGTTTTTATCTTATCCTATCGTTTCTGAATAAATACCTAAACTTTGTACTGAATTTTAAGAAATTCTTTAGCATCTTCATTTACTGAAACTGTTCAAGAAGATTTCAAGTTCTATAGAAGCATACATTGTGGAAGTAGCGCTATGGATACTGAGGAATTGAACCGTAGGACGTTGCTTCATCTATTATCGTTTGTCCTAAGATGCTTGTCGTAAACTGAGAGTATTCGGAATTAAAGTTATATGAAGGAACAAGGATTTACGGAACAACACGAGGTTGGTTAATGCTCAATGGAAAATCAAGAGCAATGGTTATATTACCTAACGATTCAAGTGGAAAGCAAATGGGTACTCATGAGTTTTTAACACCCAATTAAATAGACATAGTTGGTCGATCTCGAGATTGAAAACGCCTCAACTCCAAGATTTTTCTTAAATAAAATAGTTAATAATTCAGGCAGATGTTAATAATTCGTTAAAAAGAAGTTTCTATTATGAACTATTATGACCAGAATAAGAATATCATCAGGCAGAACAGGAAGTAAGTATGGATGGTGAAAGGACACAGAAGAAAATGCTGGAAACACACTTCAGCGTAGATAAAAAATAAAAGAAGTCCAAGAAGCGAGTGGAAATGGAGAGAGATGCGAAGCAGCAAGCAGTCCACAGCTAGAAAAGATGAAGAGCAGGGAGCAATGGATAAGGATAGCTCTGGAGGCATTAAGAGATGATCTATAATGATCTAAGTGATAGAGATGATCTAAGTTTACCCTCACTAACTTGATATGTTTCTCTTATATGTGTTTCGAAACGTTCTCTATGTTCCCTTGCTAACTTTCAAGGAAAGTTATTTTATCTGCATACTGGAAGGTATCATACTTACGTACATAGCACCCGCTCTGTTACGATGTCACTCTCATTATTTTTACATTTAAAACGTTTAAAAAACTTGTAAAAGAGATCATCTAATGTTTTAAGGTCTGTTCCAACTCCAAATCCTTCTGGTAAACTTATTTCCATATCAGTTCACAACAATGTCGATCGATATATTCTGCCCTATAATTCTTATGCAACTTTTGAAATTAATAGGTAATGCACAAACACACCTTGATACCATTGTTAGCATTTCTATCTTTATGGATTATGGTTGGAATTCTATTCACCCAACATAAGTATTAAAAATATTAAACCAAAAGAACTAGAGGTAAGTTAGATCGTACAAAAAACCTACAGTTTCGTATAGTCTTCAGAATATGCAATACCGAAGCCCAACTCTCAAAACCAGGGAAGGTTCAATACATTTTATGAGACATGATCAGATTTAGATTCCGGCCGGATGCATATGACTAAAAATTGTTTCTTATATTTTGCTAAGAGCAGAAAAAATCTTCATTATAACAAATATGTTCATTTCCATTTCTTTAAACACAATTTATTCTTTCACCAACTTCATGATCTTAATGCCATACGCAGTTACCGTACTAAACTACCATACATAGTACCGTAAGTAATATTAATTTCTATAAAAATTACCATATAATATAACAATGCAAATATAAGATATTTGTTAAATAAGCATTAAGCTAAAATCAGTAAAAATCAGAACAATGTAATTATTCTTAAGAACTTTGTCCCAGTTATTTTCTCGCTTTGTTCCGAAATGAAATTACTATTTCACTTTATATCAAATATCTTATATTTCTTTGGATAAACAAATGTAAGTAGATAGAAAATCTTTACTTTAAACATTTATGTAAAAAGGAATTTAAGAAAATAACACAACATAACTGCGTAACTGAGTGAGGTTCCAATCGAGCATAAAAGGTTAAGGTCTTGCTTGAGGGACGAAAGAGCCCACACAAGGACGTACCAGTTTTAAGGATGATTTGTGCACAAATAATGTTATGTTCATTGCTCTATAATTTGTGTACATGTATAATTTACAGTGTACGCCACAGGATTCAGGAACTAGCCTAAATTGTATTTAAAAGAGTTTCCTGTAGGACTGCATTCCAAGCATATGATCCAGTTTTATGTTTTAATAGATTAAAAACAATAATGTCTATGCATACATTAAAGTGATGATTAGAGCTCATAAATATTAGTTATATTGTTAGAATATTCTGAGAACTATTCCACTATTAAAAAAAAACTATATTAATCAAAATATTATCCACCAAGCATAGACAAATCTTTGGCCATTCGTGTCCAGACAGGCTTTGGTGCTATGTTTGGTGCTCTAGAACCTAGACTACCCCTTCAACTCCCTTACCCAAAATGCTTTATCAGGCGATGTGATGTCTTCAACTGCCGTGAACTGATTTTGAGAAGGGAGGTCCCCCACCAATAAGGTGACGTCATCCGGGAACGGAGATACATTTAGCGTTTCCTGTTTAGCAAGTACCCCTTTATCTGTTTTTACAGCTTTCCGATCAGATGGGTTCCCTCCTTTGTCCTTAGCTGGCTCCTTTTGTGGCAGTGGTTTAAGACTTTCTTTGACATCCAAAAGATCTTTCGATGTTATCTCTTCTTTTGATTCAGTCTCAATTTTCAATCTAGACGTTTGTGGCGCAACAGGGCGTAGCTTTTTAGTTGCATCGTCTTCATTTGCAGCAGCATTTTCGCTCATAATTAGCTCCTCTTGATTTCCAGACTCATTTGATACATTATTATGTATTGAATATATCGTATCGGTATCAACTCCTTTCGATTTTGTGTCTTTAGAAACAATGATCTCTGCACAAACTTCTTTAAGACTACCCACTTGATGCTCTTCGTTTAAAGCAATTCCTGTAGGTATAGTTTGAACAGAAGGTTTGAACTCTTCCTTTGTTACAACCGTTTCCTCCGAGTCACATTGTCTGTGGGTGTCAATATGATTGTTATAGTCGCTTTTACAATCTGATGTTTGTTGTTCAGAAACCACATCCACTAAATGTCTAACGCATTCTTCAACTATTTCAGATTTAACTGAATCAGCTTTTTCTGAATAAACTTCTTCTTTAATATTAGTGGTATCTATAGATATATTTGTAGAATGTTTAGCCTCATCGAATATTTTCTCCGATTTTGAAACTTCTCTTATTGATTCAGGTTTATGATGAGCATTTACATTTGCTTCCTTTATCTCAACTTTATTTGATTCTGACCGTTCTTCAACAACGTTTTCTCTAAAAACATCATTTGTCAGATATTTGTCTTCATTTTTGACTATGATTGACTTTGAGTCAGTTGGAACTATGTCCTCAGAAAGAAGTTCTTGTTGAGTACTAATCACCTTATCTTTAGGACAAGATGAATCCAATATTGAGTCGCCTTTGGACACCAAAACATGTTCTATAGTCGCAAGAGTATGAGGAACCTCAATTAGCTCATTAGCTTGGCCATTTGTCGGTATGGTCTTCCTTTCACCTGGATCAGAAGAAAATGTTTCTTTCGCTATATTGGAGTTATTATCAATGCAAACATTCATGGAATCGAGACTGTTGCAAGTTTGAACTTTAATGCAACTACTTGTTTCTTTATCCTTGTCCTGCTTTACCATTCCATGATCAATAGTTTTATTGAATTCATTACTAACATCAGGTTTTGTAGGAATCGGTCCAGAGGCATCAAACTGCCCATTATGGGCTACCTGTAGTTTACAAACATCTAAATCATTATTAGTACTCTTTGCGATGTTTTTATCAGAATTAGATATAGTTGCTGATTGATCAGGAATACAGCGGCGTGATTCATCATTATCTATCGTTCCTGCGATGGCTTCTTCGATAATTTTATCTTTACTCTCATCTAATTTTATCGAAACCATTTCAGATTCATTTAACTGAGCTTGCAACAAAACTTCCTGAATTGGCTCATTTTCATGTTTCGGAACAATTGCAGAATTTTCATGTTCGCTGAATGAATTCAATTGATCGGCACCATTGATTTTCTTTCTATCGTATTCATAATTATTCGTATGATGAACAATATTAATGGAATTAGTGAGTACTGTTTGTGCGTTCTGTATCTCATCGTTTTTAGATTGTTTTTCTGACTCAATAACCCGTTCCAATTGTGTTTCACATATTTCATCCTTGCCCTTATTTTCTATTAATGGCTCCTTTCCACTGTGAGCTTGGCTCTCAACCAATATTTCACATTTTTCTATTGTCTCTATGTTATTTGTCTCAGCAATAGAACTTAGATTAAAAGAGTTTTCATTTATTTTATGATTAATTTCTAAATCATTTTCTTGTATTACAATGTCATTATTATGGACGGAAGTATTGTTGGGTAATAGGGAGAGTTTGTTGTTATCAGGAAGTTTTAGCGTTGCCGTTTGCGATTCGAAGTTAATAGTATTGTTGATTATTATGTTGTTATTGGTGTTCTCTTCGCCGTCTTTTATTACAGGATGATCAAAATTAGAGCCTATTTTGTCACTCTTACAAGTAAGTTCATTGTTTTTCATAATAATTTTAGTGTTATGACCATCACATAACACTGAATTAGTGAATAAAGAGTCTTTTGTTGATTTTTCAATACCGCTTTCTGCGAAAGGTATAGAAATGATGTCTGTATCTAGCAAATCTGTAGTTGAATCAATGCTTTTGCCCTTATTAATTTCAGTTTTTTTGGTTTCCAATAATTCATTAGTAATTGTGTAAACAGTTGAATTTTTAGATACAATTTGTGTATTGGATGACTGCAATACTTCACCGATATTTGGACTATTACTGTCAATGGATTCGAATTGTTTATCTGGCTCGCGAATACAAATAAATTTTTCTATATCTACTTTTGTTATACCTATGTCTTTTTGATTCGAAAATACCTCATCGATTTCCGGCCCCAATAACTCACTAAAACTGTCAGAAGGAATGTAAGGAGATTCTACAACTGATCCTCTATCAAGTCCTGGACTCATGTTCATTATTACGGTGTTAGGAGTACTCGTACGACTTATTTCAGAACTGGCACAGCTGTCGCTCTCATCTATGTCATTAACTGACAGGAATACGGGGTCCTGATGATTCATGATCTGTGTCGAGTGAATGTTGCGAGCTTCGACAGCCTGGAAGATCGCCGCCAGTTCTTCGGATTCCTTCTCATCGCCCTCTTCTTCAACTGCGGCTTGAATAGACCTGAGGAACACGTGAGGGTCTCTCTGGAATTCACTGGATCGCCTTGTCTCTCGGTGCCTGATCGTTCCAGAACCCACATCCAGGACAAGCCGACGGCGCTTTCTGCCCAGGTCGAGCGGTAGGTAACTCTGGCGAACATGTTCTACACAAGCCAAAGCTTCTAGGACGCCGATTGAGAACACCAGCACAGACATCATCAGTCCCATATTGAAAGTTTGATGTTTGAATAGGACGAAATAAAAACAAAGTAGTGATGATTGCTTTCAAACAATATGGAACCAATCGCTCTTCGAAAAGGGTGTGTCAGTTTCGCTCCAGATAGGAGGAGCCATCTGATATTTCTCAGCTGTCGAGGTGTATGAATATTTGCCAAAATGGGGTACCCGAGACCAGGTCCGGAAGGGCGGAGCTAAATATATTGGAGTGGTGGGGGTGGTATAAGATACGCGCACCGGACCGCTCGCGACAAGAGACTGCAAAAAGGACGCCTTCGCGGGAGCTATTAGCAGCCGGCCAAAAACTAGCCTAACCTTGGCACACCTCTCCCCGCGCAATGCCGCTGCCAATGTTCGGGGCTGCTTCTATCGAAAAAAAATTATTGAAGAACAATGTAGAATAGGAGGATCGACTGCTGGATGTAGTTGAGGAGGCGTTGAGAGCCTCTGGCACGGCAAATAATAAATTGCCTGTGCAATATAGGTACATAATCACTGCCAGGATTAAAATAAATCGAAAGTGATTTAGTCTCTCTGCTTCTAACAACTGAATAGTGTTGAATACAACTATCACACTGCTTTTTAATTGAACATTAATTAGTTGGACATTGAAAAAATATATATACATTTGAAATGAAATGAAAATAGATTTTTATTATCCTGGGGCTTTTGTCCTCTTAAAATGTGTTTGTTTTTAGTAACTAACAAACTTTGCAACCACCAATTAACAACACTTTAAAATCATTACAGATAATTATCAGTTTAATTTAATAAAAGTTATCTATAATACATTTTTTTTAAAGATTTTTTTTATATACTTCTTTGCTATACGAAGAAAATACTCCAGTATTTAATTATGTGTCTAAAAGTATAAAAAAAAAAAAAAAAATGTATTATAATGAATAATAAGTTCTCTGGAGTTTCCTCGTCTGATTGTATGTAGGTATGCATGTGTTTTTTTCTTAGTTTTAATTTTTAGGTTATTTTATTTTATTGTTTATTGTATATACTTTTGATTATTATTTTGCTTCTATTTATTTTACATTTTTTGTACATATAGTGTGAATATTATCCTACCTCAATATAACCAATGTCCAAGGGACAGATTGTTGTAATACTCAATAAATAAATATAAAAAAAAAAATGTATAAAATAGAAGAGGTTGAAAGATGAAGTCTAGATAATCCAAATTTTAATGGTCTAGATTTATTTTTATTTTTATATAATTATTTTGTAAAGATAGAAAAGTATGGAATTTATTTGTTTTACTCATGTAAATATGTGTTAAATTTTAATTAGATTTTATACCATTTCCTATAATTTAAGTATGAATTATAAACTTCTAGATTTTTCGTTTATTTGTAATACTTAGACTATGTTTTATTTTAATATTGTTATTTTTAGACTATTTTCGAGTGTATCTATAATTCATGGTATCTCAATACTGTACACAAGAAGCTTGATGGAATTAGAGAGAAAAAAGTGAAATCGTTCCCGATAGTAGACAGATTCGAATTCCTAGGCTCCACAATAACCTCAATGAATGGGCAACGGTCAGAAATAGACCTAAGTAAAACAAGCACAAACAGAGCTTTTTTTATTCTTTCTTTTGAAGGTATTAAAACCCCGAAAAATCTCAAGATATCTAAAATTAAGGGTATAAAATGCTACGATTTTAAATAAGGCTGAGAGACATGGACAGAACAAGCCCTAGAAAATAGTATTGAAATATTTGGAAATATTCCTTCGAACGATAACCAGAGGGATCTAGAATTACAATATAAGCGCCTAGATGAAAAGAACAACTAAAAAATTGCTTACAGAAACTGGTCAATGAATTCTTCGTGATCTGAAGGCATTCATTTGAAGGTGTTCGGAGGGAGGGGACATGTAGCTGGGAACAATTCATGAGGAAAACCTAAACAATGAATATTTAACGGCAGGCAAAAAATTAATTAGATGGATTGAATCTACATAGATGTTCCAGAGCTAGAAAAACTGGAAAGCAATAGCCAAAAGATTGGCAGAGATGGAGAATGGTGGTCCAGGGGATCAAATATTATACATATACCAAATTCTTTAAAGCCAAGAAAAAAAAAATTAAATAAGGCATACTGTGTGTGTAGCAGCGGTAAATATTTGGGCAGTCTCACTGGATGTATTAGAAGACTCTACAATCTATTAGAAATTATCGTAAAGAAAACTTCTTTAGGTCCGTTTGTACTTTTTTGTGAAGAGTGAATTAGATTGAGCCGCCATAATACCGATATGGATTAAAATATCTAAAAGTCGTGCCAGCATATTGTTACCAAGAGAAATGTTTATAATTTCATCCTCTTTGTAATGAGCCATTATTCAAAACTGTATCTTAATGCGACGCTATGGTAGAGAGGTGAAAAGGGAAAAAACAGTGTCGAAAACTAAACGATAACGAGTTTTATGGAAGATATAGATTAAAATATATCAGAAACTAAAAATCGGACCTGCATACACTCAGCAAGATAATTGTTCAGCATTTCATTCTCTCAGTAATGGACTGTTATTAAAAATTGTATCTTAACACGAAGCCATGTTAGGGAGGCAAAAAAGAAAAATATAGTGTCAAAAACTAAACGACAACGAGTTAAAAGATATGGATTAAAATATCTCCGTAACTAAAAATCGGACCTGCATATTGTAAGAGAGGGAAATGTCGAGCATTTCATCCTCTTTATAATGAGCTATTATTTATAATTGATATTTCATATTATTAATATCGCCTTGTTGATGTTTTCGCATCAATTACGTGGTCTAAACACACATCATGGTTTTTTTATACATATACAGCGCTCATCTTATCAGTTTGCTTCTGTAAAAAGGAACGACAGTGACCAAAAACTTCATATAATTTCATACTTCCAGAGAAAGATAATTTCACTTAGATTCTGTTGATCGGGATCTAATCATAATGTATGTAATGATTGTTCAATTTCCTTAATAGAACAACATCACTACTGCAACATAATTCTAAGTAGACGGAACACTTTCAATTTATACAATTTACGATGCCGCTTAGCATACTTGGGCAGGAGACAACTAGCCGCTTTCGTGACTGGACCCAGTTATCATCGATCAACGGTAATTGGTATTCCTTGGAGATTAGGGATAGATACTTGGGGCAAATAAGGTATGCGGTCGCCCTGGCAATGAGGTACTCCATCATAAGGTGGCTTTAGGTGAAAATAGGCGACATATGTGCCTGCAGTTGGCGAGGAATCCGCTCGTGGCTTGGGGCCAAGTAACTTTATGTTCTTGGAGGGCAATGGCGGAAAGTAGGCGAGCAGTCAGCAATCTCCTCTTCGCCAATCCTATCTGCATCACGCAAACAACGGATTTAATACGTCTAGAAATGGAGACTCTAATATAGATTTGTGTTCGTGCATCACATCCCCTACACTTCCCGCCGGACTTTGATCAGAAATAAGGCTAGATAATATGAGTCGTTGATTACCTAAATTAATTCTAAACGATTTTGGTTTATTATTTTCAATAATGAACCATTGTGATCGACCAAACAAATAAAAAACTAAACCCCCTCTCAAAATTTTACGTTTCAGGATACCCAGAATTCGAAAAACGGATAACAATTTTTTTGTTATCCCCATCCGCGCATTTTCTCCGAAACTACTGGACCGACTTTTTTAAAATTTGGATATACAATCAGCGTTCACCCGAAGATGATCCTCCTTCAACATTACTATCCGTCTTTTACTTTCAAAATGGCGACCGAAAAACTTGCGTTGCTATAGACTGTAGAGCCTAAACGAATGTACCGATTTCAATGAAACTTCGCTAAAGTAATTTTTTGGACGCCCTTTAAATTTATTTATAAAACATACTTCAACGAAAAGAAGCTGGAAAAACAGTTACGGGTGTTTTTCTCTCAAACAGTTTTCTCTCTCAAAAGTACAAAGTGAGTTGATAAGTTAACAGATATTTTATAGCATGACACTGGCGAATCCAGGATTTAATTTTTTTTTTGGAAGTTCCAGTCCGAAAGCTTTTTTTTCCATAAAAATAACGATAATTACTTTGGAAAATAAAGAAAGATACTAAATAGCTGTATGAAATGGTGTTTAAATGATTTTTGAAGCCCTGTTAAATATAATTACAAGAACAATAATACTTTAAGATATAATTTTTTAATATTTTTTACCATTTTAGGTGGGAGGGTTTCAACCCGTAAGCCTCCTTCCTCCCTTTGATTCCTCTGTGTGGCATAATATAACATTCGGCCAGAAAAAACGACAATGGTAATAGTGAGAATAAAAATCATTCACATTTAACATATAAACAACTATAGTTACAAGGTAACAGCGAAACATACTGTCAGATTAATGTAACCATTCTGACTTGAGCATAAATTAAGCAAAGATATCTTCTACCAAGTACAGTGACTTTTTTATTAGATATCACGCATCGACTTCAAAAGCTTCGAGGGATTGTCGAATATGAAAGGAATAAGGCAAACTAACGATTTTAGCATATCTACTAAATGTTGGAACAGCTTTCAACAACGAACAGTTTTTTGTCACTTCAGTTGAAGGATATACTAAATGTTTTAGTTTAATATTGAGTAAAATTTCATATCTGAAACAGGTACAAAGTTATCATAACTGACTAGTCTAACCTTTGCTCAACGAAAACTATCTATGTGTACTCGAACTAATACAAATATTAATATTTCAATCAATAGATTTATTTCGGGAAATCCAGAACGCTGTCTTTTCTAAGATAATATTGCAAAAGCTTTCAAATGGTTTGATAGTTTTGGTATTCTGCCAGTAAAGTAAATATTTTTTGGACAATGGTCTAACGCCCACCTCCCGAGCGATATATGTGAGTGGTGAGAGAAACTTTTCTTGATAAATCAAAAAAGGGTATCTATCCATTCTGGTGATTGGATGAGATTACCCATTCGAAAAAAAAAAGAAGAAAAACCAAGAAAGAAAAAACAATTCAAAAATAACTTTGGAAAGCGTCCATATTCCCTTGCCCTACTAAAGCTCGGTTACGCCTAGTTCTGAATTCAAATAGATAAAATATTTCATATTTTATTGCGTGTGTCAGTTTAAATGACAGGAAAGTTAAATTATCGTTTTTATGAGTGATAAGGATAAATAACCTAACATATTTTCTGTTTTAGTCTTAGACTGAAGCGGTATCCTATCATAAGAGAACGATCATTAATTGAATATAACAAGTAAAAAATAAAGATTAAGTTTGGTTATTATCAGGGAAATGATAAAAATGACCATATTCTCGTAATATTCGAATATCGAATATTTTCGTAAAAAATTAACGGTTTGGTAAAAATATTTTCTCGAAAAAAAAAAACTAACGATTTTGATAAAAGTAATTTAATTAATACATTATTAAGAGGTTTTTAGTTTGAGGTAAGTATTTTTCTCATTGATGTTTTTTAACATGGCTTATATACAAATTTCCAAAAGTTCTTCTTGCAAATTGTCATTAATTTTGATTATTAAAAGTACTTAACCATTACACATGACAACTACTACTAAATAATAGCTAAATACAAAATATGAACGAATATTGTAATAACCAAAACGAGAAATAAGGGTTAGTTGACCTAGACAGAAACAGTTAAAGCGCGAATAGCCTGAGAGCTTCCGATTTTTTCCAATTCTCCTCCATTTGATCTACTCAATTCTGTATACAGATTTTCAATTATTTTTTATTTGTAGTTTAACTGTTAAAATTACTTTCATTTACTCAATTTTCGAAAATGATTTTCATGCGAAATGTTGAGGCTATACTCATATATATACATATATACTTTTTATTATTATTTCTTTTTAATGTTTTGGACAAAGCTCAGAATTTTTACTTCTTGAGATCCACTTTTACATCATATTAATTTATACATTTTTAAAAATTAATCTAAGAGCAAGCAATTATTTTCAATATTCACTTTTTTTCTTTTTCTCCTATTTTGCTTTTAAGGCTATACGTGGTTTTCCCGGGCCAGGGGGTGAGGGCGAAGGATTAATGCCGAGCCCGCTCGGCCACCCCACTACTTCATTCCTCTGCGTCAGGGGTCTTCAAGCTTTTTGGCCCGCGGGCCACCTAGACTTCCGCGGCCCATGATTAAAAAAAAAAAGTTCTATAAATGAAACAGAATAAATACGCTTTCCAAGAGAAAAAAAAATCATTATATAAATGTAAAAGGCTCGTGTGTGAATAATTTGCTAAATTTTACATTTAAATAGTTTTTAAAATTTTACAATGTAATCAAAGAAACCTTCGCGAGCTGGATTGAAGGTGCTTGCGGGTCGGATTCGGAAATAGTTTGGAGACCATATAATTTTTACTTCTCTACATATGAAAACACCTTTTTCTAATATTCATGATAGGGTGGTAAGTCAAAGCTGTGTGATGCACGCACCCTAACGGATTTTTTAATAAGAAGAGAGCAATAAAACTTTTTGGTTGCGACATAACGCATAATCCATCGACCTTGGGGAATCGGGCACCTCTATGGATTGGATACAATTTAAAGTAAGTAACCTGTCTGAGTGGAGTTTCATGATCTAAGTTGAAGATGAGAAAAATCAATTTGACCTAAGTTTTTTTTTTTTCTGAAGCTGAGCTTGCAGGAAAAAGTGGATAGATACTGGAATTCGCATATTAGTTTATAAACACCTTTGAACTGAGCGTTATTACTGGGAATATTACAGTTTATCAACTGGTATATTTCTAAACGTAAACTCGAGAATAAAGATGGAAATGAAACAGTTAGATGTAAGCTAGAGTCCACCTTGAGGTATAATTATCCACAGTGGCCCTTCACTTTCTGATTATCCTACGGCCAGCCGTGGGGTTGTCGACCGATCAGTCAGCACTGAATCGCTTTCTTGTCTCTGGCGGAATGGTATTGCTTCAAAAATTTCCAAATGGACAAACTAGCAATTTTTTATAACAAACTACGAATTTTTGCTAAAACTTTTATACTAAAGCTACGAAGAAACAAAAATCAATGTATATATTTATATACAATACTCTCCTGCCCAAATCCGAGACGAGTCTTGGTGATGGTCTTGGTCTTGCGCAAGAGTCTCGTAACAGTCTTGCAGTTAGTTATTAGCTTATTACTGTAGAGATATTACTGTAATTTTTTAGATTGGAAAAAACTAACTAAGCCTGAATGAAAAATTAGAGGATTTAAATGCAAAAGTATATTGGTTATACCAATTATTTACATTTAGTAACTAAGATTGTCAAGTATTAGTAACTATTCTGCCTGTCCTGGTCTTGCAACAGTTAGGTTTTTTTTTTTGGTTTTTTTTTTATGCCTATTTCCTCATCGGTGTATCAGCCCTTTTATATTAACAAAGGATTGCGTTAAATCCTGAAGGTCCTTGGTTTTTTTTTTTAAGATATCCGGTTCCAACAAAAAACATGTTAAAGATCATAACAAGTACAGTATTTTCTATTTATTATATACATCTGTTGGACCTCTGACAAATGTGTAAGAGCAATTTTGTCAATTTTCATGGACATCACCAAACAGATAATTTTTCTCCCTCTCGTGGGATCTAATGGACAAAGTTATGTAGCTATTACATTCCTTTGTGGATTATGGGTTGAAACACAAAAATTGAACTTGCACCTGTGAGATTCCAAACTTTGTAATTGTGCTTTTACACTGATGTAGAACTCAGCTTAATAGTAAATTAAAGGTAATCAAGGCGAATGTTAACATTTTCACTTTAAAAAAAATCTCTTTTAAAATTAAAAATCTTAACCTTAAAACAGAGCCAAGAGATAAAACTTAATTTAAATTTCATTTCATGGATATAGTCTTTGAATACTTTTTATAGTTTTTTGAAAGTCTTCAAATAAAGCGATTTTGCTAAAAAAAAAGAAAGGATATTTTAAATTTCATACAACTCAGGAAGACCAAACTTTAGAAATATTAACTATTGTTGCAAAAAGTAATCTTAATTATAGTAACGAGATTTCTAGCGTACTTTTTTTTTTTCAATACAAAATTATAAATATAGCTAAAATTTGAAGAACCATTAAGGAAGATTTATATCCAGCTATAAGTGTTCGATAATGTACCAAGAAAAAAAAGAAAAAAAAATATCTGTCCTACTGAGCGTGCAGTTATGATAAGACTTTCGTGCTCTGTCATGG